CCCCAAAACCCCAAAACCCCAAAACCCCAAAACCCCTCTTCCATGGTTGATATTGAACAATCACCACAAGATAATTTGGTATATTTGAGTTTTAGCCTCTAAAAACTATTAGGAATTATGATAAATTATGAGACGTAGAATAATAGAAAATTTTACAAAATGAAGCAGAAAGTTAAGCAAGGAAGCCCCAAGAAACAGGAAAATATGTTAAGGCTTTGCTCAATGTAATATATTTTTGTGCTGTGTGGCTATATTTTTTTTGAAAATATAGAGCTCATAACAGTATTATAGCTCTTTTTATGATCAGCTCTTCCAGCTGGTCGATCAAAATTGGAATTTGCTTTAGTTAGCCTGACTCTAGATGTCTTCAATGACTGGAGTGTTCCGCTGATTATATTTTTCTTAAACCTCTTGACCTTGGATCTACCATCACAATTGCTTTTCTCTACAAAGAATGGGTCTTGATCCTTCAGACCAGCCTTTATGCTTTGGCCGAGACAAGTCTTGGGTGTGTGGTTAGCAATGGTCTGCGAAGAAGGATTGAGAAAATCTCTTGAACTCTTCTTATAATCCTTAGTGGATTCCATCCTTTTCAAAACTCTCTTTGTAGCCTTAGTAGAAGAGTTCCTGGTGAGTTCAAAATTGGATGGTGATTTTAAATTTTTCATTGATTTACCACTTTTATTTTTCAAAATTCCTTTAATTTTTCCAGGCTGAGATGATCTGAGGTATGATTTTCTCTCAATCTGACCTGGGGATGGTCTTCATGATTTACTCATAACCGAATTTATAGGCGATTTAGACTTATGCCTACTCCTACTAGTACTAGATTTAAAACTTTTAAAATTTTGGCTTGCATAGACCTGTTTCTTAATTGACTTTGCTGAATATTTCCCCCTCATAGAAGTTTGTTCAGGTAAAAATCCTCCATATTTGCTCTGTGAACGAGTATCTTTGTCGTATAAAGATCTGAGGTACACCCTAACTTTAGATTTCCTTTGATTTGACCCCTTAAGATCTCCTCGAGATTTAGAATTATTTGTAAGTTTAGTTTCAACAAGACAGCCTGATGTTCTTCGCCTGGTGATCTTAGCTGGGCTTGTACAAGCCTCCAGACTACTTGTCCTACATGGATTAGGTTAATCAGTTACCTCTTATTAGATTTATTCGGCCTTTTTAGTCTTTTAGATAGCTGTTTTTGACCTAATTTTGTTGTTTCACCAGCAAAACATTTCTTTCAGTTGCTAGCCGTTATGCTTCTCTTTGAAAAGCAGCCATTGGATTGGTGTATTCAGGTTGAGATAGAATTGATAGAAGAATTTGGTTGATTTAATCTCTTCAGATTTAGAAAATGCTCTCTGTTGTTAATACCAGCTGTAGTATCCATCACTCTTGGACTCACTCGTGCTGAGTCCTTAGGTTGGAAAATCTTCTTTGAAGATTTCAGATTTTTTTGGAGATATCTTGCTTTTGCTATAGAATATAAGCATCGAATATAAGCATCAAATTAAGCAAACAGTCCGACTTACTTATTATCTTTGTTTCTATTCCCATTATGTAGGCCTAATTCATTATTTAATACACCAGATGGATCAACATTCTCTAGATTCTTCCTTCCTCAGGTAGTCTTACTATCACTAGCTTTATTTTGAGGGAGATATTTATAGGTTTGAAGAGCAAGCTTTCCTCCTAAGATGGCTGGACGAGATGTTTGGTGCTTATTCTGAACCTCACCTAAAGGTGTAGTGGGGTAGCTCTCAGAGTCATTATACTCAAAAACACCTCTCGAGGCTGACCTTTTCTTGGTCATATATTTCCTATATCTCTCTTTTGTCGAATTAGGAAGTGCTTTAGAGTCGTTAACTGAAGGATGCTCAGTAATATCATTCTTCTCAAAATCTTGGCTCTGCTTGATCAATCTCTCTTTTAGTTTTGAGACTCTTTGGATTTTCTGAAGTTTAGCTTCAGGCTTAGAAGCATGAAAAGTCTTGAGTTCTTGGTCTATCTCTTGGAGCAAATTCTCAGTCTTACTAAAATCCTTGACTTTACTCTTGTTAGCTCGCAGAGGACACCTTCGAGCTTTGCTCATCTTGGTGTAATCAATAATAGATTGGATCGAGTCATTGCTCTCTTCTAGAGCTAGCATATCTAGAATTTTGACTAGTTGAGGTTGTACTTTTCTAGTCTCTTCTTCGGTCTCTACATTTCCTTTACTATTGAAAAGTTCTGAGCTGTTCTCGAAATCCAAAATCTGGCTGCTCTGGCTTTGCTGGCTGCAACTTTCACCATGTAATGAGCTTGACCCAATAGAGCTATTTTCAAGCTGGTTCATAAATTTGGTATTCAAAAGTGTAGAATTTTCAAAACTTCTTGGGAAGTCTCAATGAAGAAGGTTAAGGTTCTCCCTCTCCTTTATCAAAAGGAGGTCATCATGTTTATCATTAAGCATTTTTATTGCTTCCGGATGATATTCTTGTACAAGTACCCTCTCTCTTCAAGGGTGATATAGTTAGGAAATACTGTACAATAAGTGTTGTAGTAGTCTGTAAGGCGGCCAATCTTGCCTACAGACTCTTCAGCAGTGTAATACCTTCTCATGAAGTCGCTCATATCGTCCTGGATTAGGTAATCCTTGAAAATAGCCACGATCCTGGTGCTCTCATTTGAGATTATGTCGTTGATCACTTTTGAGCTGTAGGTTTCCTCTGTGGTGGCGTATTTTTGAACTAGAATTGATTGGCAGGAAATTTGGCCCTTGACCGGTTGAGGAATGACTTTTTGTACGGAATTTGAGCTATAGAGATGAACTTTTAGATGGAGTTTGAGTGGAAACTGGACTGGATTAAATTTTTGTTGTGAGGTTTTATTAGGGTGAGGATAGTTAAGCTTACTCATTAAGACATCTTAATTCTGTGAAATTACAGCTGCTTTGAGATTCTTCAGGATTTTCGGTTATTTTTAAAGAAAATGAAAAATCACTGGAATTTTCAGAGTTCATTTTATTAGAAATTTTAAAATTTATATTTAACGGATTCAATTTAGAGGTTTAAAGTTGGGGTTTTGGGGTTTTGGGGTTTTGGGGTTTTGGGG